TAAGTTTCACTCAAAATGTAAATTCGCTACAAAATTGTCATCCAGTCCAATTATAAAGTTTAGGTTTATATATGAAGTTCTCAGATTGTTGTACTCACTGAAAAAAAAAAAGTCTGTTGGAGCAGTAACTATTACAAGACGCTCACCCCAGTTTTCTAAATTTGTTTGGGATGGTGTAATTTAGCCTCAATTACATTGCCTCAAATGATCAGGGTTAAATCCCACATCAAAGATTTTTCTCAGCAGTTTTTTTCCCCCCAAAGTACCTTGATCTTCAAAATGGGTCCGGGGCAGCAACGTTGATGCCTAATTGGTTCAAAAATATCTTGTAAATTGCATTGAGCCTAAGGTGATGGAGGTAGAAAGAATTCTGCCTTAGAAAAGAAGTCCTGTCTTTGCCTGGATCCATTCACTAAACCACCACATCATTAGTGTCAGGGTGTCCATCTTAGGCCAGCTGTTTATTCAAATTCATAAATCAATCTGTGAGTATTTCCAGTTAATTGATGCTCGGTTTTAACATTGCCTGAAGAGACTTTCACAAATATCTGTCTTGACAATCATGTAAATCTTTACCTTCTGTTTACCTGCAAATGTTACTTTTTTGATTAAGATGAGTCAGTAACTGTAACAGTAAGAATATTTTCTTTATAATCCCGTGATGGAAATAAAAGCCAACGGCCTTCACTAATCAAAGACTGAAACAAATTAAAAATGCAGGTCACACAAAGTTTATGCTCACACATCAAAACAGCAGTTGAGTGTAAATTTGACAGAAATGTCAAAGCATTTTGGTCTGCTCGCAGGCTGAGGGGTGTGTAAAATATAGAACAGCATGTTGCGTCAGACATGACAAAAACCGTCTCACTTCCACAATCCTCATGATATATACACACACACACACAACTCCATAGGAACAAAAAGGCCGGCTCCAACTAGAGTATATAGACGAGGCAGGAGCTGTGAAGAGGATCGATGCTGTGCACTGATATGCTCGTTTACACTGGCAGAGCACTATTACATCTGGCTTGGAAATCTATAATTTATGAACAATTAGCGAGTCAAGTAACATGCCCTTGTCTTGTTTTCCTCTCCCTCTCTTTCTCGATTTCTTTCTCTCTCCTTTTCTCTTATTTTCCCCTGACCTGCATTCTTCAAAAAAAATAATAAAAAAAAATCTGTCTTGTTGAAACCCCCCCTCCCCCCCCCCTCCTACAGAGCTGGCATGTTTGTCGCTAAGTTCTTTGAGGGCTGTGTGCCGGCGATGGACCTACAGCAGGAAGATAAGAAGCTGCTGGCTCTGGTGGGCTGGGAGTTGCAGCAGTACATCCAGCTCATGGACAAAGTCAAGTAAGACATCTAAAGGCACATACCTGTCAAAAAGTTTGATTTGGGGATGTCATTTGAGTTTAATTGCAGTTAAATTCTGCCGGTCTTTTATGTAGTTATTCAATCTTATTAAAATTGTCAAAGTCGTATTTTTTGGGATTGGCTATTGTATCACCTTGAGACATGTCTGGACACTCAAGGTAATACATACTAGTGGATTATTCCAGATTAGATCAGTCGTGTGTATATATGTATAATATATCTTCATGTGGAGAAGGTTCACAAACTGTCCTTTAATTTCTGATAACAATGGGGTAGCTGTCAATGTCACTCAATCATCAAAGTTTCTCTAATGCTCCGCCAGAATCCGTGATGCTCTGAAACACATCCTCAACATCTCTCGCCATGGCAACCAGTACATTCAGGTTAACGAACCCTGGAAGAAGATCAAGGGAGGAGACACAGAAAGGTGAGATGACCATGATAAAACAATCTGTACCTCAGATCTGCGCGGCACTTCTGTTTTGATTTCAGAAACGAGTTTAAACGCATTTGTGTCACAGCCAATAGGGATGGACCACTCACCTTTTGCGAAAAGCGACTCCTCCTTTCAGAGTCATGTATCTCTGAGCAGATTTGATTAACATTTGAATGCATGATCTGTCTGACTGACTGATCTCTGTCTGTCCTTTTCTAGGCAGCGGTCGGGCACAGTGACCGGTGTGTCTGTGAATATCGCCTGTTTACTGTCAGTGATGTTGCATCCATACATGCCAACGGTCAGTCAAACCATCAGGGATCAGCTCAACGCCCCTCAGTCTTGCATCAATACCATGTTAAAAGGCACCGGCACCTTTGTGTGTGCCCTGTGTCCAGGACACCGCATTGGCACTGTGAGTACCACATGACACTCAAAGTTCATACGTGCACACGTGCACACACACACACACACACACACACACACACAAACCTGTGGAACCTCCTGTATGTTGTCGCTGGGTGATACAATGAGGATGCAATAGTCTGCCAATATTTCCGTACTCTGGAGGACACACCCACACGTAAGACTGCAGCCTTGAAAGTGTTTCGAGGGCTCAGCCTTGGAACAGCATGTTTCTCTCAGGCCACTTGTCCCTTCAGGCCCTAAAAGTGTTGACCAGTATCTGCAGCGACATCTCAACACTGCATTCTGTCTTAAAGCTTGATTTGTGACTGAGGTCTCCAACGAGGAGCGACAGACGACACAATTCTAAAGCACTGTACACACCCTCATACATAAATCTTCTCTAAATATCTTTGATCATAGCTGTAATAGTGCTTTGAAAAATTGGAAATCATTTTTTTAAATTCTCCAAATTTCTCAGACACAGTTATCCACTCACTAAAATACATCATCGTCTTTGTTCAAAGACAAGCGCATGATCTCCAGGTTAAATTTTTCCCGATACAACAGATTTGGGCAGGGTCCACATTCACAACTTTTTAATATAAAAGCATGTGCTTTTACTAATTTGTGTCCCCCGCCTTAATTCACAGGTCAGTCCGTTGTTCCAGAAACTGGAATTGGACCAGATTGAGGCTTTGAAGAAGAGATTTGGTGGACAGCAGGTATTTGATGTTTATAATATCTAATGGTCTGTGTATTAGTTCAGTCAAGCTCTCTTGCATTAAAGGTTGTCTGTTCATGAATTATGAATTAAGAAAGGATTGACAATGCGTAGCCACTCACGCTCCTCTACCAGACTCTCTTCATTAGAAAGAATTCGTATTTAATCAGCGTAGCTGTCTTTTGAAACATGATGCAGATCGAAAACACTATAAATGTTTGAATTTTTGTGTTAAGCATCTATCAAATGGATAAAAATAACATGTCTCAAACCTTCTCCTCAACTGCCTGCCTGTAGCCTGAAGACGAACCCCCTAAAAAGAAGGTATCGAGCAGTGTGTGTGTGTTAAGAGTCCACACTGGTGCTGTTGTGTCAATGTTGATTACTGCATGCCTTCACTAACAAAAGCAGCTCATCTTACGCCCTCACATTTTTGTTTTTTACTCATCGCCGTGTGTCCAGTGCGATTCAATGTCCATTCACACTTCATGACTCATAAAATCCCTCCGACATTTTGAGTGATGCGCGTTATTGTCTGCAGTGAAGGTACTCATGTCCGTGCATAATAACCATCAAAATGCCTCCAATTTAAACATTTTTATCCATCTGTGTCCACCCTCAGACGGCAGCTCAGAAAGCTGCCGGCACTCAGCCTGCCGCTGTGCCGGTTCCTGCTGCTGCTGAGGTGGCGTCGGTGAACGGAGTGGACCCAGAAAAAGCCAAACAGCTCACACAGGCTGTGGCTGAGCAGGTGAGATCACACGCTAAAGCTAACGCACTGTCGAGCCATTAACTGGAAAACCAATAGACATTAAGGATCTTTTATTTAGACAACGCTGCATAATTTTGACAAATATAAGATTAATTCAATTGCTTTGTTTGGTCTTTAAGATAGTCTTCTAACAACAGAAGAAGCTCAACGTCATCCCTTGTTACAAACCAAACACGACCCATCCAAAATGTATACACACAACAAACCAACCACTGAAATAAAGGGACGGCTAATCATAGCGACTGTTAAATGGTATCTCCAGTTGTTAGACTATATGGTTACGCTTACGCTTACTTTGCTTGTAAAATTGTATTTTACACTACAAGTTGCACTGCAAAATGCGGGTTACATTTTTGGGAAATTTCGGTTAAGTTCTCAGTTAATTGCAGACGGATGCATGAATTGCCGCCTAAGTCCATTATGTACAATTTGAGAGGTCAGATGCCAAGTTATATTGGTCCATATAAGCTGAAGTGAATAGTAGACGGAAAATAAAGGTGTTAGAATTGTATATAATCCTCTCATTTTCTTTGTCGCAGGGCGAGAAAGTGCGAGCGCTCAAAGCCCAGAAGGCGGAGAAGGCCGCCATCACAGCAGAGGTGGCCAAACTGTTGGACCTGAAGAAACAGCTGGCTCTGGCCGAGGGAAAGAGCCCTGAGCCGGCTCCTCAGAAGGGCAAGAAGAAGTGAGCCAGGAAACAAAGTGATAACAATAAGATGGAGGTTAGTCAGAGGAAGGGAAGAGAAAAATGGTTTGAGATATGATAGCGGAGAATGGGAACAAGATGTACACACAGAGAGATGAGGGTATTAGCTTAAGGCAAAGCCGTGACAGGATCTAAGACAATGTGGTATTGGCACTAAGGACTAATGAAATGCTGGATAGGCCGACGGGGAAATGAAGACACACAAAGACAGAGTCAAATGAATACAGCTACAGAATGGAGGGATTTGTCCAAATCCCTACACCAAAAGAAACTGATTTTATACTCTCTCCGTGATCAAGTCAGCATACGATATTAGCGTTGGAAGGTGTGTTGCGCATTTAAAGATGTTTTTTTATATCCTCTGGAAAATTGTTATTTTCCATTTGCTACAAAATACCCTTTTTAGATCCTGCATATGAATCGATTAAGTTTGGTTAAAAATGTCTGTACTTACACCCTCCCCACTTTCTAAATCACCTCGATTTTAGAACATTTTTACAAACAGAAATCATTCATACACAGGAAGTAAAAAAGAAAAAGAAAGCCAATAAACATATACAATAAATGACATGACACAAAACTGTAATTTTTTTTTCTTTTATTGCAAATTCAGGATTACAAAGAAAGCTCAAATAAGGTATGGTACATTACATAAAATTGATTCCATCAAAGATAAAAGCCATGCATATTTTTCTACAATTACCAAGTTATGTGACTACAATGGAGAAAATAACTGTGGATATGTTGGCATTTACAGTACATGCCATTACAGTACAATAGTGTACATTTATATATACTTATTACAGTGTTGTATAAAAATAGTTTCAGGGTAGAATAATTTGTGGCAATTCTACTACAAATCTCCATTATCGATAAAAAAAAGGTCAGCTTAGAAAGTATAGCCGGGTTCTACTTGCTTTATGTAAATACAAATACTGGTACATACAAGCCACAGATTATAAAAAAGTAAGAAAGAATAGAAATTCTTTCCAAAGAAACATCATTCTCTCATACTCACACTGCACTGGGCACTTGTCGAACTTTTCCTGAGCTCCTTAACTCTCCACAAATTGGGGCAAATAATCTCTGCTAGCCAGATTGCAGCCCTTATTGTAGGAATTACAATTATTGCAAAATGGTGGGAGAGGATGACACTGAAATGCACTCTTTGTTCCTTTCTGTCTAACATACAAATCATTAAATGCTCATAAGCGTTTTCTCTGCCATCTTATTTGATGGATCTCAAGAGTTTAGGCATTCTTTAAAACGACAAACATTCATTAAAACCTCTGTATCTTTTGCACTTCAAGTAGTCTGTTCTGCCTTTCCTTTGTACGTGCTGTGTCTTTTTGTTGCCGCAGTGCTGTTGCAGCCCCTTCTCTCTGTGCTTTCTCTTGTCTTGACTTTCATCACTTCCCTAATTCTTGCCATCTTAAGCGCTCTGTCTTTTCCAGAAATCCTCTACCTTTATAAAATATCTTTGGTTTCAATCCTTTCCTGTCTTAGAGGCATTTCATGACCACCATGGTACACTTTTCCCCACCATTGCTTATTCCAATTGTGTTTGACCTGCCATCTTTCATTTCTCTCTTCCACCCTCTCTTTCATTTCCTGTTGTTGACAAGTCTCTCTATCAGGGCTCGACGTGTCCTCTGCACCTCCTCTCCCAACCTTTCAATCTCTGCTTTTAAACGCTCATTCTGCTCCGTCAGCTCCTGCACCTTCCTCTCGTTCTCGTGCTCTCTTTCTTTGCGACTCTTTTTGGCAGATGTGTAGGATGAGGATGATCGTTGCATGGAGGAGGCGTAGGAGGACAAGGCACTGTTGGCCCTTTCGCTGGTGGTCCTCTTGCGTTTTCCAAGGCATGAAGAAGGGTAGGCAGAAGGAGAGGAGACGGGTGACGAGGGGGAAGAACAATTTTGAGACGGCGACTGGGAGGCTGAGGAGGAGCAGGATGGAGAATCGGGGACACAGGGCAGTTCCTCCTCGCTGGCTGAAGGAGATGCAGGATGGACAATATTATTAGCCGGGTGGTGTTGATGGTGGTGGTAATAATAGCCACTGCTGATCACAGCTCCACTCGGATCAACCATTCCTACTCCTCCTTCACTCAGCAATTCGAAGAACTCCGGAGGCAGCAGATCACCGCCGCCTCCTGCCGAGCTTTCTCCACTTCTCCCGCTCTCAGCATCTGCCCGCCGCTCCTCTGCAACAGCTGGACTCATGCAGGAGGAGGAGGAAGAGGATGATGAGGTATGATGCAGAGGCTGTGGGTTGTGGACTTCCTCTGTTGCCCTCTGAACCCCTTCGCCCCATGTCTGGTTTCCGTCTGTCAGCCACGTCAAAGAGCAACTCTCCAGAACATCCAGAAACTCTGGCTCCTTCTAAAAGCACAAAACAAAAAAAAATTAACATCGCGCAAAACCTGTATTATTTGAAGGTAGGATTTAATTTCACATTTATTTACGGTCATTGAATTTCTTTTTCTTAAAACACTAAAACGAACTTAAAGAACTGAAATATTGAAGAAAAACAATAGAACACCGACACTCATCATGGATGTGATAACCATCTCACTCTTTAAGCTACTGACCTCGGTGCATGTGGGGGCACGCGCCAGTTTTGCCCCTCCCGTGTCAGAGCCCAGAATATCCTGCAGGTCCTCATACCACGCCTCCAACTCTGCACCACACAACGGCCCCACACCAGGGGGGTATGGCGGGGGCAGGTGTAGCCACTCGGCAGTCATCTCCCCAGTCAGTCGCAACGCACAGATACTCGGCCACACGGTTCACACTGGACCTGAGAGGGCAGCAGTCACCAGACATAAGAGACAATCAGAAAGAGTAAGGGAGGAGTGCAGAGCAGCAACACGTGAGATGACTCACACATAGCCTTAAAACCACTCAAGAACTCTGCCTTTTTCTTTTTACATTTTTACTCTTCTGCAACTTGTGAAGTTAATGTGTTGCGGGTATTTGTCTATTTTCACAATCTCTCCAAAACACCTTTATTTTGTAAAATTGTGACAACAGTATTAAAAAAAAAAAGGAGCAAAGTACAGTAAAATGTATAATCCACTTAATTGTGTAAGGGACTAACAGTGACACTAAGTGAGGAAAAGACTGTACTGCACTGAACATGCTAAGAGGAATTTGAGAATTCAAAATGTTTTTAAAATTTACAAAACATGCCAAGAGTAGATAAAATTTTAATTAAACTAATTGATCAATTTAAAAACCTTAATTTCCTAAATATGCAGCATGCAGAACATCAAATATTAGAAAAGCAATTTACCTTGAGAAAGTCTCTGTTAATCAAGTCTGCAGATTGGTTGGAGAGAGCTCGTCTCTATAATTCTGAAAATAAAGAAAAACATTGGTTATTTAAGTCTTAAAAAGGTGGAAAATGTGTCATTCTGAAATTTGCTGAGATTTCAGAACCAAAATGATGATTTGCACAAATACATGGTAAGCTTCATCTGGTGGTAAAAGGTGCCTCAAATGAAACAACAGCTATAATAAGGTTAAAACAAATCAATTGCCAAATATGTTTTAAATTGCCAGAAATTGATGGGGTGAAAAAATTAATCCTGTCACTTAAATCTTGTAAACAAAGACGAAAGTGTTCTCTCCTGCGCCCCCTGCTTTCTACGGCCCTCAAAGCAAGCTGAGATCGATAAACAAGTGGTAAAAAAAAACGATGGGAAAATCCTGATATTGATCCAGGTATGACATTCAGGTCAACGTTTTATTTTTACTGCTTAATACTGTAAAAAAAATAAACAAATACAATATTTCCAAAAAGCAATAACATTATCGATAATATTAAAAAAAAAAAAAAAGAAAAAAGAAATCTCGCTAAAACGTATCATATGGATAAACATCTCTGCTTTTCTCATTTGATGGGTAAAATCGATTTAATAAGCCATACTGATGTAGCTAGATAGTGAATTAGCAAGAAAGTGATAATAAAATCATAATAAATGACTTTAAATGTCAACTTCCCATGAAAGCGTGCTTACATGAAGTCTCGGTGTATAAATTAAAACGTACTGGTAGATAATTTCTTAAATAAAAAAAATAAATGAGGTATTGAGAAGTATTTCCTCTTTTATTTGGGATACATGTCCACTGTACGCCACCACAGTTACGTCATGGAAATGCGAGTCCAGCAGGGGGAATGGGCGAAACAAAAGGAAACTGTACAGTGAGGAAAACAGTAGACTGAGGGGGAAAAAGAAGACAACCCGATATGAACATCTGTCCATTCAAGTGCTAACAAAATACTATAGATAGGTTGGTCTGAAGTGTTATTAAAACAAAAATAAAAGCTGTTCAGTTTTGTAAATCTCACAGATCCTGAAAGTAACCCCTCAAACGTCACATTAAATTATTTCTCTCGCTTGTTTTATAAAATACCATTTAAAAAAAAAATCTAAACATAGGTCGTCATGTAGGTTTAAAAAAACATGTATATAATATTTTTTTTTTTTAAATGTTTGACACCTCTATTAAAATGTTAAAAGTTCCCAGTTACACTCCGTATTCAAGCCTGACAGCTTTCAAACGAAGCAGACGACAAACACTGATGATGTTATGGACAATTATGATCGATAAAGACAACTGTTAATCCAAAAAAAACGAGAACGGAATATTTGCCCAGACATGCCGGAATTTCTTCAGACCAAGACCACTTCAGAAGTAGCAGACACTCCCCAAAAACACCCAAAACAACATCCAACTTTTCACCAGAACTATAAACAAGTGTCTCCACTTACCCTTTTTCTTCGATTCGCTCGCCTTCTCGACTGTCTTGAACTCGAATGTGGATATTTTAGTAAAAATTGGTGATAGCTCATGTTAACCATTGTTCAGACTTGTCGGCTGAATTGTGATTTTCGGAAACTCCCGGCGGTGTTTATATTGAGGGCGAGTTCAACCGAACTATGCATGGGAAGGTAGTTTCAGCACAACCAAGCGCTGCGCGGAGATGACCGACGTTCCGATGGTCCAATCAGAAGAGCGTAGTTAAGATCTTTTCCTTGGCGACATCCAATAGAGTGACGCGAAATCAGCAAGAGGGTGGGGCGTGGTGGGTTTCGCTGCTTGTTCTCGTCTCAAGCCTGTATAGTTTGTACGAGCAGCAATTGTGATGCAGTCATAAGACGGCCAGGACGAATTTGGGGCGTATGGGAGTCACATGAAAGGAATGATGCAATGCTTGGCAACCAATTTCTAGCTGGGGATAACACCAGCAGAATCAGAACATGTTTTATTAAACAGTGTTGGCTCTAACTAAAATCTAAAAATATACATATATGCATGGATCTCTAATGTCGAAGAATTGTTTGTTTCCGGAACACTAAAGCTGAATCGATTTCCTCACCAATTGTTTTTCCGAAGCAGATTGGGGGGAAAACGTCATTATGTATCAATTTAACGCTTAAATACTGTTACTTTGATAACTGTAATGGGATTATTCACCCGACTATTAATTCAGGTGTTTGTCTAAAGTTTGTCGTTTACACTGACACACACCCCCTCCATGCCGTAGGTGTATCCACGAGGAGGGAGAATAATAACCCTATACCCTCGAAACGTCACTTTCCTGCAGGACCAGTGATCGTGGACGGCTAATGTCTTTATTTAACGTTTTTTTTTGTTGTTGTTATTTGCCAGAGACCACTTTGTAACCACACTTGTATACAGAGGTGTCATACAGCTCATTCATTTCATACCGCGCGCTCTGTGGAACAGCTCCGCGCGAGATATCAAAACACGCCCGACCGCGGGAGCGTCTGTCGCGAGCTGCCGCTGCTGGGTGTGATTAAACACCACACTGTCCCCCTTTCGCTTTCCGTCCACATTCCCTGCTTGTTGGTGATGAAACTCAGCAAAAAAAAAAAAAAAGAAATTACACCATATTTAAGTGTTACCGTTTTATTTATTTTTTATATTGCTGATCTAAATGAGATCTTATATTAAGATAAAGCACTGAACTGCAGGTTTGATTTAAACACTAGGACCATTTTTCCCCCATCGGTATGTTATACAAGATTTTGGCTGATGAAACACATACATGAGTAACACACCCTATACAGTTGTTGTGTGTAACATTTCATTGTTAGTTTACCAATGTCATTTTAAATATATATAGCCTATATGAAAAGTCAAACCTATTAGGATAAAATATTTAATTTATTAAGAACAATCACTCTTACGTCACAGCTTTGGAACTATAACTTCGAAAAAAAAGTCTATAGAACTTGTGAACTACTTTAGGAGTAATAGCTTTTGAAGAAATCATAAAAAATAAAAAATAAATAAATAAAAAATAGCCCATAGTTTCAAGTTGACCATCCCTGTCCCCGGGGTTTGCGGATGTCACATTCTGGATAAAGACAATGAGTGATGCAGCCTATTGTCAACAACAAAAATATTATGCGGACGGATCGCAAATAGTGTAGGCTACAGAAAAAACTCTTGAGAAAAGTCAACTATATGTTATAAAGAATGAGGAGAATACCACAAAGTTCAACAAGGTCACTATCTCAGACACACCTCATGATAAACAGTTAAAGTCATTATACCAGCTTTGGATGATGGCCATTATTAAGGTAAACAACAGCGTCGTCAACAACAACAACAACAGCAGCAGCAACCAAAGTGACGATGTAATAAACCCGCGTCGTTTCGTCATGTCCTACTCTTGATCCCAGCTCCTGACACTTTTCTGCCCTAATCCCAAACTCAGCACACACAAACTGTTTTCCATGCACTGCGCCACGTGCACGGCTCAACATGCACAGCCCCATAGCAACAGCGCCAAGCAGCGAATAGAAAGCTCAAATACTGTCTCTAGGACCCGGGTTAAAGCGCTGCAGGAAGCACCGTGAACGCGTCACGACTTGAGTGGCTGTTGCTGAGTAGTTCAGCATACTTTCTCTACACCTCCCCCCCCCCCTCCCTCCATCCCCCTCCACCCCGCCGTCTGTTTATTTTGCCAGTCCCCTCGTCTGTGTTGTATTCATTATAAAAGACTGTTTACAACCACAGATCTGAGTTGCCATATTTTGTCAACATTGTCTGGCCATGAGGGTCCTTGTTTTCTTAATGATTTTCTTCTCAACTGAAACAATATAAGACAAAAATAAATAAAAAGAAGGAAACCAAAACAAATATACAATATGCTTATAGATAACTTAAAAACCTATTATTGTGCTCTTTATTCTCTTCTTGTATTCTGCTGTCTTTTCATGACACTCGAGTGTAAACACACGCTCCAGACTGATAACTGTCTGGGTGTGGATCAGCTTTCAGATGAGATGGAGTCTTTACTGATTGGTATATTTGGTGATATCAGTTGCTATGGGGTTGTTGTAATGTTTTACTCGCTGCTCTTTTTGTTTCACTAAGTCTCTTTTGGTCTGCCTCAATCATAAATAAGTGAATATCATTTTTTTTTTTCTGTGATATTTTTAACAGATAATCTCTACTGTCATGTATTACATCATGTATTATTTAAGGGGGGAAAAACAAAAAAGTCAATTTATGGTAAAAGTAATAAGCAACCACCATTACAAATAGAAGGACATTCATTTTTAATAAGTGTTTTTATTTGGAAAGAGTCCTTTGTTTTTTCTGCTCTTTGTTGCTCTGCTGTCACATTTATTTACAACAAATGCTGCCATAATGAAATTCTAAACATATTCAACAATTAAAAAACATTTTAGGAAAAATCTAAATATTTTTATGAATTAGTAAATCTCCCCCAAACTCAGATTTTAGCTTTGGATTTCTTTTGTTTTAAAGGAAGAAAGTGTGCAGGGAATTTCCAGTCACCACCGCGATCTCGTCTCTCCGTCCTGTCCTGTGCCCTTGGTCAGGGCTCCTCCACACCCAGTTCTTCCCTAGTCTCACACACACACACACACACACACACACACACACACACACACCAACAGCAGCTGTCGGAATCTTTCCCCTCTCTGAACTGAGACCAACACATACAGCTGTTAACATGTACTGGTGATACTGTAAATTCCTTTTCTCTTGCCCTCCGTCTCTCTTGGTTTGCCCTCTCTCGTTGTTTGTTAAAAGCTTTTTTTTCTAATTATTTTATTCTGGATCCAGACAAGCAGACTCTCAGAAAAACCTCCTCACCTTATCAGAAAGTCTTCTAACGACGTCGTCTAAAAATCTCTGCTCGGGTGTGTGTGTGTATTAAAATGTCATTTTAGTGAAACATGAGTTAGAATTTTTGATAAAATGAATATTTTGCCAACAGTTATTCATTTGGGTTGTCTTTATGCTATAGGTTTCTGTTGTTACAACATTCATCTTTTGCCAATACCCGTCTCGGCTGAGGCCAATAACGCAGTTTTCTATTGTCTGAAAATGCCCATAAATCAAGTCATTTACAAGTACCACATTCAGCAAATACATTAAAAGTTAAGAATAATTTGAGTAAGTTAATGTGTATTTTTGATGTTTTAAATATTCTACTTATTGCTGTCTTATCCTGTCCAGAATAATCAGCTAAATGTCTCGCCTACTTGTTGAGATTTAGCTTCAGGAGCACTTTTACAGTCAATCTTATTAGTCTGTTAAACCTTGTTTACCTCTTCGCCTCACCTCTCTCTACCTCACTGTCTCCGTCTCTGTCTTCTCTCTCTTTTTAAAAACTCCCTACAAGCCTCATTCTGCCCCACAACAGTATCCATCCCATTTTACTCCGCTTACCTCCACCCACTTCCTCTGTCCTTCCCTTTGCCTTACTACAGACTCCTCACTTCACCAGACATATTAACAAAAATCTGACAATCTGATGTAGAGGCCTGTGTGATTTATTTCTTTGCGTTGCTTGTTCTTGAAATCTGATGTTTTTTTCACCTGCCTTCATTTTATTCTTAGTTGTGTTTTCAGTCGTTTTACCTGCTTTTCAAATATAGGAAAGTGTTATAAAGACCTCTATTTGAATTTTAATTAAACTGCATTTTGGTAGATTAAAACATTTTGTTATTAAGCAGCAGTAATTTTCAACAACCTTGAATGTGGATGCCCTCAGTTATTTTTCCTGATTTTGAGTACATTGCTTCCAAAAACACACTACAGGTCTGACAGCCTTGATTTCTTCATTTCTTAGCTCTGACACATGTCAAGGATGAGGCATGAGAAAAAAGGCAGAGTAAAAGAAAACCCAAGCAAGAGACTGTAGGGCATTAAACTTTAAAAGCCTGTCTGAACAGGTGGGTTTACTGGCAGCGAGACGCACACTTCAGGCGTTTAACTCCATCCTTTTATTCCTACACTCTTTGTTTCTGGTTCTGATATGGAGGGAAACTGAGATTTTGGAGCAATTGGTGCTCCCTTCAGCCTCCTCTGTGTTCAGCTGCTCCGCTGCTGGTGGACTTGCATGTTTACTTTTGTCCACTGAAGGAAAGGTTGCTGGCTTGAAAGCAGTTCACTTTAGCCATACAGAATTGAGCTTAATTGTAATGTGTTTTACTGAGATGTTTGTTTGGATTTAAATCCCACAGCTTAAACCAGGCAGGGTGTTCTGTATTATCAGTCAATTATCCTCCTTTTATACTTGTTTAAACTCAGGGCCACATGGAGAGCTTCACTCTACAATATAATCATAACAGATAAGATTGACCTGTTTGATATAAATTTATTTTGTAATTGTGCTGAAGTGTTTTCTCAACAGATGGGGCTGTGCTCACCCACACCCAAAATAGAAGGACAAATGCAGGATAACATGATATACAGTATACGGTATGCCTCTGTGCTCCTTTGGGGCATTCCCTTCTAAGTTAGAGCTCTGGATCTGATTCCCTGCAAGTCACACTTGATATGTCCTGTCCAAGTAGGCCAGTATTGAAGTCCCTCAACACGAAAGGGGAA